ATCAATATAAATCCAATGAAGAATTAAAGACTGGAATAGAAACGTAGAAAAAGAAATAATGCATCAAGGAAAACAAGACAAGAATTTCTATTTTGTGAACTGTTTGCCTGGATCAGGAGTGTATTTATTCCTCAAAAAATATGTTACATGACGTAAAATATTTTATACAGAGTACAGCAGATTGAGGGGAGAAGTGTAGAACTGTAAGACCGTAGGAAAGATTACAGCAGTAACATTGGTAGGTAGGGTGTGAGACACCCTGTGGGAAGTCCTTAAACACAGACAGATAGGCACGATGCTACCAGCAATGGGGAGCTACACCTGAGTATTGGGAGGACAGGGCTAGGAAGTAAAAACAACAGACTGAAACAATGTTTCTGGAGTGTGGTCCCCCCCACCAATTATCATCTGGGAATTCATTAGAAATTCAGATGTAGTTCTTATCCTAGACTTCAAAACTCTGTTAAGCACCATTAACTAGGATTTGGGAGCAATTTTGATTGAGCATTCTCTGTTTTAATAAACCTTCAGATGATGCTGGCACCTTCCAAGACTGGAGAAGCAATGTTTTGGAAGTGATCTGGGTTTGTGAGTTACTCAGAAGCAGTTTTAAAGTATTGAGAGACTAAAGCAGTGTAGGCAGAAGTACTCGGACAGAGATTCACAAAAAGATGGGATTTGGTAGTCAATTCTACATAAAAGAAATCCCCCCACTACCACCAAAAGTGACCCCAAGGGACATTTTGGGGGAAAGGGTATGAGCAAGTGAAGGGAGTGAATGACGAACTAAGGATCACTGGAAATAGATGTGCGTCATTTAACATGGAATTTCAAAATATTCCCTTCATGTTGTTATTATCAAAGAAAAGTGATTATTGAATGAAATTAAGTCAAACTAATACGGTTAAGTTTGCAATCCTCTCCCCCTTTACCCAGCCCGGAAACAGAGCAATGGTAGGTTTTCTGTTTCATTAAATTAGTAAGATGTAACCATGTTAAAAATAGATAATACCAATCTTGAGGGAGAGGTGAGCAAGGGTACCTGCTAGAGTAAATGAGGAGATTTGAAGGCAGGCTCCTATTATAGTCAGCTTCTTAAGAGCTGGCAAGTGTAAGCTTTTAAGTACGATTGGCAAGGATACCATACCCCATCATAACACATTTTCCCTTAACAGAAACAATCAGAGCAATCATTATTTTCTTCATTGTTGTCTAAATCACTCACTGATGTCATTTTCACCAGGCTGTACTTCCCTTCTGCGTCTCCTTGTAACTTCCCAGGCAACCCATTTTGTTTGGTTTGCTTTCCTCCCAAAGTTTCCTTAAGAGTCTCCCCGCCAGCTGGCCCACAGCCATCACAGCTGTGCCCTTAAGATAGAATGTTAATTCCACTTCACCTTCTTCCTCCATCTCATTCTTTGGTGTCCAGCTTCTTGGACATTCCTGCCCCACCTCTTTCTTGCTCAGGTGGTTTTCATTTGTAAACATAAACACCTTTTGTCACCCCAGTCTCTTTCTCCTTTGTTCCCTTATTTCTCCAGCCCCTTAAATCAGTCTCACAGCTCCTCTGTTAAAAATGCATGTGATGTAACACACTTAAATATGAGGCCACATGGATGAGGCTTCGTTAAGTTAGTTACTGTTATTATCTATGCCTGAATGGCAGGTGGATCTGTTTGAGTACTTGCTACTTTGGAATAGATTTTTTTTTTTCCTCTACGATTTACATGATGCTGAGATATTTTATCCCAGATTCTTTTATGGTTTACTGACTATATTTCCAAATGAATCTCCAAAAGAACACACACACACACACAAACACACACACACCAGCAAAAAAAAAAAAAAAAAAAAAAAAAAAAACTTCCATCATCTAACATTAACCTCTACCACCACCTGCTGGTCAAAAAGCTGTATGTCTTATGAGTTAACTGGAAAAGGAATGGACATTTGGGATGTTTCAACTATTTCTGCAATACAGGATTACTTGGTAGCACAGAAAGGGCAGGTTGTTTAAATATAAAGACTCTTGAGACTATTTCTGCACTATGAGTTACAGATTCTGTATTATATAACATTTTATATTACAAACAAGGAAGCTCTTAGCCCCCAAAGTCATGTTGACTGAAATTTTAAAGTGTGTGTGTGTGTGTGTGTGTGTGTGTGTGTGTTGGGGGGGGGGCAGAGGGCATACATATGATTAACATATTCACCCTGGCCTTCAAAATGTGCAGATTAGTATGAAAATTCCATCTTTAGTCAGAATTTGGGAGGTTCTCCAAGTTGTTAATGCAGGTGTTGTCTATCTCCCTATCAGTTCCTAAAGCAGGCACCACATTTTAAATTTATCCCACCACCTTTTTCACCCTCACTGTACTGCTCTTCAGATGTTTTGACCAGACCTACTAGGAAACATAACATTTTGCTGTTGTTTGCTTCTTTCTAGTGGATTTTTTTCCCAAAGAAGTAGGCATTGCTAAAATGAAAGGAGAATCCAGTTAGAGCAGTATGAGAGCTGAAGGGTTTGAAATCATCAGAAGGTGCCTTAGTTAAGTGATGTTGGCATTGAAACTGCCCGGGGCAACAGGACCTTCTGTCCTTTGTACTTCTGGCTCTGACTGTTCCTCTCTGGCTGCAGCATCCTTCAGTTAGCACTGTGTGACAAGAATTCCTTACTCACCTCATGTCTCCACATAAATACCATCTTCTCAGAGAGGTTTCTGTGCCCCCCCCCCCTAACTACAAGCTGCACACTGTTCGTTCCTTTCAGAGATGCTCACAGGGTACCTCATTACTTACTAACTTTTTTGAAGTGTTTTTTTTTCTGTGTCTAGCCACTACAAAGCTTGTAGGGGACTGAGACCCAACTCACTCACTCTGAGCAGAGCTTTATTGTTCCTACACCTCTGGGTGTCACAGGATAAACAATCAGTACAACAGCTTAGTGAATGATTAGTTCAGCCTTGTGCTGTGTATTACATTTAAACTCATTTGTGAAGTCCTTTCTTTACACTAGTTATTCTCTATTCTACTAGTTTTATTTCACTTAATTTGAATGAGATTAGTCTAACAATATTAACACTTAGTACATCTTTTTATTTTTGCCATATTTAAACTTATTTCTTATGCCTAATTTTACCTTTTTATTTATAAATGTAAAAGTATTAGTTTTTAAAAATAACCATGGATTTTATCTATTAGCATATTCTATCATTTACAGACCATGCTCCTTTATGTTCATATCATCAGATTTTTTAAATCTTCATCAAAAGTTTCATTTTCTTTTTTATCTTTCTTTCTTGATGTTTAATGAGATATACAGACGTGGTAAGAGACACCTTCCAGAGCAGAGTGAGGTAGCCACAAACCATTATTACTTGGAGCCCTTGTGGCTTCTCTCCATATTATCTTCAACAGAAATATATTTAATCTCAATATTTAACTTAATCTCAATCCAGGCTGGAGTATTAGATATCACCATCTCTACACTTTCTACCAGTGTCCACAGGAAGACTGAAAACTCTGAGAAAAGTGTAAATAGTTGGAAAGAAGTCTGTCTGTTCCTGGACAAAATGGCATAAGAGATACATACTCTTCAAATGTCTGGTTGTTCTTCTACTTTAATGACTCACCTTCTCCCCCTCCCTCTCTTTCTCCCTCCCCCTCCCCCCACTGGAGGGGGATGCAAGCTCTCTGGTTGGGCATTATTTTCACCTTTGCTCCCTGCTTGTGAATGATAAGAGACAGACGACAAAGGAAGGAGCTGTCCCGTTGGGCAGGTTTTTCAGGAACCTCACCATTGCTGAGAACAAGGACTCTCTCTTTTAACTCTTCAATTGTTCTCCTAGTGGGTCCCTCAGTGGAGCCAGAGACCCGGGTTTCAAGGAGACAGTTTGGGTTTGATCACCTAACTTTGATAAGATCAAGCCACCTCTAACCAAAAAAAAAAAAAAAAAAAAAAAAAAAAAAAGCTTTCATCACTCATCACCGAGTAGAACTGGAAGCTCCAACTCTCTTTGGACAGGATAGAGGGCCCAAAGAGCAAATTCTGTAAACTGCGGGGGGTCAAAAGTTTGGCTCTAGCTCTCCTGGCTCTAATCTCTCTCTAGTATTTACAGAATTTCCTAACATCCATCTTTCCCAGGATTGGAACATACAGTGCCCTTCTACCTCCTGAGAACGCAGAACATTCTATCCTCTTATAATGCTTGTAAATACATTCCTAGATCCCCTTCTGATATCACAGATGGCAGGAGATGTGTCCCTTTATAGCGAATTCCACTGTCACTAGCTTAGAATACCACTAGCGAGCCTTCATTCACAGTGCGCCCCTCTACAAAAGTTTGGTTCAGAAACCTACATATTTTTCTACCACGCGAAGCGATCGGTTTTGTAGTACCTTAGCCAGAATCAACCAGGTCTGTCTACCCTCGGTGTCTTTAGCAAATACCGCACAGCAGATGCCTGAATCCAAAGTTACAAAGAACACATGCATCTTTTATAAAGCCATGGTTCCACATTCTAGAACACTCTCAACTCTGGAGGCAGAGGGAACGGAGACTATGACTTCATAGCCTCCCATTCATCCGTTTCCGTAGGAGGAAACGGATGCATCAGATGGTTAATTCCACTTTACAGTTTCCGTTTACGAGAATAATGTATTCACACACCCGTGCGGAGGAGAGCATTTTTCATGGTGCTCAGGCCGGCTGTCACCCGCATTTCAATAAGCCGGGGAAGCGCGTGTCAAGACACCAGCGGAAGAAGGCTGATCAAAATTAAAGCTCCTGCAGTAACTACGTTTGCGGTTTCTCCGCAGTGTAGCGTTTCTTCTCGACCGTTAGTCCTACCAGCCGGGTCTGAGTGTCTCTGTTGTGCTCAGACCCCACAGAGCCTTGTACATGAGCTGCACAAGCGCAAACCCCTTCCGTGTGGGCGGGAATAAACCGCCGCCCCCACCCCCGCCCCGCCCGACCCCGCCCTCCTGCACGAGCGACGGGAGCCAAGTCGTTTCCTAGGTGACGCAGCTGCAGCGGCAGCATCGACGCTCGATTGAGCGGGCCTGGCAGAGGTTCCCAGAGGGCCGCGCGTGCGCTCGGGGCTCCGGGTAGCTGTCATGGCGGGGTTGTTGAAGAAGGTGAGCGAGTGGAGGTCAGCGTGGTGCTGTGGACCGGGCGGTAGGCGGCCGCGTCTCCCTCACCCGTGGGTGCACACGCGAAGCCGACCGGGTCGGGGAGCGTTGCGCTGCCCCGGGAGGGGTCCGGAGGGTCGGCGCCCCCGCGGGCGGGATGGGGAACGCGGGCCCGGGCAGGGCCGCCCGGCGAGTGGAGTGGCGGGCTCTCCTGCGCGCGGGGCCGCCTGCGCCACGGTAGACAGCACGGTTGTGTTTTGTTTCTCAACAGACCACCGGCCTGGTGGGATTGGCTGTGTGTAACACTCCACACGAGGTGAGTACGGTTGTGCGTGTGTGTGAATGAGTGTGTGCGTGTGTGTGAATGAGTGTGTGCGTGTGTGTGAATGAGTGTGTGCGTGTGAATGAGTGCGTGTGTGAATGAGTGTGTGTGTGAGCGGGACAGGAGCTGGGTGTGTGTGAATGAGTGTGTGTGTGTGAATGAGTGTACGTGTGTGAATGAGTGCGTGTGTGAGAATGAGTGTGTGTGTGTGAACGAGTACGTGTGTGAGTGGGACAGGAGCTGGGTGTGTGTGAATGAGTGTGTGTGTGAATGAGTGTGAGAATGAGTGTGTGTGTGAACGAGTACGTGTGTGAGCGGGACAGGAGCTGGGTGTGTGTGAATGAGTGTGTGTGTGAATGAGTGTGAGAATGAGTGTGTGTGTGAACGAGTACGTGTGTGAGCGGGACGGGAGCTGGGTGTGTGAATGTGTGTGTGTGTGTGTGTGTGTGTGTGTGTGTGTACGCTCGCGCGTGTGCATGTGACCTTGGTCTTGCAAGGTTAACGGGTCAGGAGCTCTCTCTCTCTGTCCTCTCTCTCTCCGTGTGTCCTTGGACTTGCCAAGTTATCGGGGCAGGAGACTACAACCTCCCAGAGCTCTTGCCACAACAGCATCATCAGCTTCGATGACCCCATGTCACCCATTTTGACGTTGGCTTTGCCATGGTATCTCTGTTAAGACACTTTCTTCTTGACGTTTGTCTTAGTATTTTCGTAGCTTCAGTTGTATGGGTTGTTCTCAGCGCTCCCCAAGTTCGAATTTTCATTTTTCATCCTTTCCCTGCCTTAAACATTTCTGCTTTGGATTTCACACACTGGCAACCCTAATAGTTGCCACCTTCAGTATCCATTGGGGGTGGGGTGGGGACAACACAAAACCAAACCAAACAAACCTAAACAAAAATCTTGTAGTTTCCCTCCTTTCAGCAATTACACCGTTTCCCTCTTTCCCTGTATACAAATAAAACTCGAGTTATCAATATTTACTGTTTCTAGCTTCTCATTACCTCTTCAGCATACTTCAGCCAGACCTGGCCAGGACTGTTCTTTTCAGGGTTACCCTTGATACCAGTGATACTAGATCCAGTCAGTTCACATTCCTCTTAATATTACTAAGAATAGCATTGAAAATATTTCCTTTACATTTATTTATTTGTGTATGTGCCTGTGTGTGTGTGTGTGTGTGTGTGTAGGTTAGGTAACAATTCTCTGGAGTTAGTTCTTTCCTTCACCATGCACCGTGTAGATCCTGAGGAGCTAACTCAGGTCATTGGGCTGGTGCAAGCGTCTTTATCTACTGGTCCATCTCCTGGCCCAAGAGCAGCATTTCCAACAGTTTTGATGCTCTACATTAAGTACTCTGTTTACTGGGTGTCAGGGCTTCTCAGTGTCCTATTTTTAGGTTTTTTTTTTGGGGGGGGGGTTATTGTTTACTCTGTTTCCTAATCCTTCGCCTTTTCTAGTTGCTCCTCATTTCTCCACTCTATACTTTTTTGTGGTATTCATGACCCAGGTCTTAGTTTTTAAATTTAGATTGGCTCTACTCTCATTGAGTGGAGACATTTTAATGATTTCACTATCTATAAACAGTTAATTCTTCTATTTCTGTATCAAGTACTGACCTCTCCTCTTATCAAGTCATGTATGTATGTATGTATGTATACATGCACGTGCTCTTGTGAGTATCATCACTTATATGTCAGACAGGTAACCCAAACTTAACAGATCCAGCTAGGATTTCCCATTTGAAATGGTTCTGGATTGCTTTTGTTATTTCACATCTCACTTGCTACTTGAGTAAATTCTCTGGATTTGACCCTTAGAATATATCCAGATTTTGTATACTACTCACCACCTTTATTCCTCAGAGGTGTCTCAGGTGCATTTTTTTCTGAACCCCTCTGCTTTCTGCTGAAGTTATTCTCCCTTTATAGTAATACTAATACTGAGATTGAGACAATATGTGGCTGGTAATGCTGTGGTCCAACCTATACATTCTCTACAACTTATGGATGAGGAATGAGGACATCTCGATAGAAGCAGCTTGTCCAGGCAACAAGGATGTGAATGCAGACAATGAGCTCTTAGTTTTGTTGAGCACTGCCTCCCTGCTCTGTATCTTACCGTGGCCCACCGTAAAAGGATTTGTATTTTCCTCCTCTGTTTTTTACCAGTCTCTTCTATATAGAAAGGGTTTGATCCATATAGCCAAAGAACACATGATACTTTTTACAAGGCAGCACTGAAAAATCCATTCTTACTTGCTGAAAACAGAGAAATGTTCTTTAGAAGTGTTGATTGCTTGTGATTATTGAAATGCTCAGGTAGGGTCTGCGTGTATGCCGTTTGAGAGGACTGCTAGGTTTACATATGTATTAATGAATAACTACAAGTTATTTTTTATTTAGCTTACTATTCCACTTTTGATAGATATACACACAATTTTTATACACATCACAGATAGAATTTCTATGTTTGTATTCCACTTTTCCTTAGGTTATAAAGAGTGACATTGAGCATAGATAAGGATTTCAGTAAAGCTCAGTTTAAAATTGTGAATCCTCTTTTAGTTTTTCCTGTGAGATACATAAATGCATTCTGTCTAATCTTTGGTGGTATTTTAACGTAGTGAAATGTGCATGGTTTGTCTTTTCAGAGGCTAACAATATTATATACAAAGATTCTTGATATCATGAAGCAGTTCCCTAAACATGCAGCCTATAGAAAATACACCGAACAGATCACCAATGAGAGGCTGGATATGGTCAAGGCGGTAAGTAGTTAAGTCAGTTTGGTTCATATGTCCAGTAAGACATTTAAGGGATATTTACAGTTGCTTTTTTTAGCTCTCAGTTTGCCCTGGCCTTTCAGTGCTACTCCTCCGTCTTTTCTCCTTTCATTCAGCAAACGCTTTGACCGATGTCTGTGTGTACAGCACCGTTGGAGGAAAAGAGTAAGATTGGGTCCATGTCCTGGGGTGACATTGCAAGTGTCCCTTGTACCACTCTTCCTTTTCTAGTTGTCAGTGGCCTTTTACCTCTTACCAAAGAAGCATCCATCTCGATTTCTAATCGCTGTAGAGAAGCACCAGAGACTCGTGTCGTGGTGCGATGTTACAGAAAGCCGTCAAAATAATTATTTTAGGGTAATTGCTCACGCAAGCCTGTAATTCCCAGCTTCTAGGGAAGCTGAGGCAGAAAGACCACAAATTCTCTGTCACCTTGGGCTCCAGAGGAAGCTCAGAGCCAGCCTGGGTAACTTTATGAGACTTTGTTTAAAACAAAAAGCTAGAGGTGTGGTTCAGTGGCAGAACTCTTAGCATGTATGAGCCCTGGATGGGGGATTACCTTGAACTTCTAATCCTCCTGCCTCCATTTTCTGATTTCAAGCATGAGCCACTCCCTGTGGTGGTGGGGGCAGAGAAATTCATGACCTTGTGCATAAAAAGGGGCACCTTGCCAACACACCCGGGCCCCGGCCACACTTAACTTTTTAAAAATCTTTTTGTGGTTATACTATGAAGGATTTTGGCCTATAATTTCATTCTATTTGTTGTGCTTTGGTGCTGGGCTCATGCTGGCTTTCTCAACCAAGTATCAATGGTTCCTTCTTCCCTTTCTGTGTAAGAGAATACAAAACAACCATGCATCTCATTAAATATTGGGCAGCATGCATGCAGCCTTTTGTCATGTAGTCACCTGTAGAAAGACCTGTTATGAATCCAATTTCAGTAGACCCTGGGCATGCAGACAGGATATTTCCTGTGTGTTATGCTTTGCTTTATTTTAGTGGGTTAAAGTTGTGACCAAAAACAACGTGGGGTGGAAAAGGTTGATTTAGCCTTCCATTTACCCATTATGTAGGGACGTTCTCAGTATGTTAATCTTACATCTTTTTCCTGTTGAAAAATCATCCTGTGATTTTCTGTGTTCTTTCTTTCTGAGAGACTGAGTTTTAAGCCTCTTCCTGAGCTGAGTATATGAAACCCAACTTTAACTGATGTCTTTGGAGGTAGTTGTGGTTAATTTTGACATGGTCTGTAAGGTCTGCTGAGGCCTAGCTTTTGTTTATCTTCTTCATCCCCCCCCCCTCCCCCCCCCGCCAATTCCTGTTAAGTCTCACAGGTCAGCAGCTGCTGGTAGTTCTGAGGATTCCATGCAGCTTTATTTTTGTGGTCACTTTATTTTCTTTCGAATGCCCCTTACCTTATCTAGCTGGTTTGAATATGCCTGCTCCAAGAACTAGGTGTTCCTGGGCATGTAGCTCAGCAGTTGGGTGAAGGCTTTTTCTTTTCCCGTACCATCAAAAGTACAAAGTTGCTATCATTAATGCTCTTTTCATTTCATTTATGGAACAAAAGCCACCTGCATAATGACACTAAAGAGTTCAGTCTATTAGAGAAGAGTTTCCTTAGATTGTCTAGGTATATTAGTAATTTTCTTAAAGAATAATATACATTAAAAAATACAGAAATCATAAGCATAGGGCTAGATGGATTTCCAGAATTAATCACATTCTAATTAATACCAGACAAAAAAGTGACATTCCATGTTACCAAATCATTTATTACAAATTACTACCCTCATAATGGTAGCTACTATTTTGATTTTTTTAACATAATATATTCATTTTGTCTATTTCTAAACTCTGTAGGAATGGAATAACTTTCATATACCCATTCATATCTGCTTTTTCCTACTTACTAGTATATTTGAGGGAATCATCTGGTTTAGTACATATAATTTGTCCCTTAACGTTGCCATATGGTTAGTATTCTACATATCTCAGTACCATAATTGACAGATCAGTTCTATTGGTGGTGGCCATTTAGGCTATTTCTAGTTTTGGGGTGCAATTTTATGACTTCTGTGACATTTTTGAATATATAATTTATTGTGCATGTTTGGTATTTACCCAGAAGAGGAGTTTTTTTTGGTTATCTGATAGCATTTATTGTTAATTCTTTTATAGGTGGTATAAAAAATGTTTACAAAAACAAAATATTTGAAAACTGTTTTATAAAGACTCTGTATCATGTCTTACCTTTGCTAAGTATATTAATATTTAATAGTTTTTATGGAATAGTAAGAAATGAAATGGATTTGCATCAGATTTTTGGTAAAAACATCAGAGCATGGTGAGAGAAAACCACTTGTCAGAAGGGCTTTTATCTATGTTCTTAACAGGTAGGATATTAAAATATTCAGGTATTATGCTTCTATGTATAATTTTCCTTCTTCCTTTCTGCTTCAAATTGTAGGAACCAGATGTTAAAAAATTAGAAACCTTGCTTCAGGGTGGTGAAGTGGAAGAGGTGATTCTTCAGGTAAAGAAGCCCTGGACGTTTAGTGTCTGGTGCCCCGTGAGCTCCACACTTGCAGCTGATGGCTAAGTGAGGGCTTGGGTAAACCTGGAAGCCACTGTTGTGAAGGAAGGATGGGCTTCACATCTCTGAGAGTTTGTGGACACTAATTTCTGCAACTCTCATTCTCAGAACTCTAAGGTGACCCATCTTAGTGGTGACCGTGCAGCTCTGAAACTTGAATTTTGTAATGGCACAATATTTGATGGCAGGCTACGTCATGACATTAATATCCTGATGGTGAAAGTGTGAGTTCTAGTAGATGACTTCCAGGTATTACTCTGAAAATACCTCTTGAATTACTTACCATATGACCCTATTTTCAACTTGTCTTTTATCAATAGGCTGAAAATGAACTGAGTCTGGCAAGGAAAATGCTGCAGTGGAAGCCATGGGAGCCCCTGGTGGAGGAGCCTCCTGCCAACCAGTGGAAGTGGCCCATATGACCACAGTTCCTGGTGGCTGATGAGAATTAAACGCGCAATTAAATGTTCTGTTATGCTACAATGTGTCCATGTCATTGACATCAAACTAGTATGTGCGTACCCTATTTCCGAGACATATTTAGGAGACAACATTGGTTATGGTAACGGGGTCTTATGAACCCTTTCCCACTGGCTTTCTGGTTTTCATTTCTGAGGTCACAGTAAGCTGGCTGTGCCTTTGCCATTCTTCACTGAAGTCCTCCTGTTATTTTTGAGCCTCTTTGACATTTCACCAGCAGAGTTGCTATAGCTTTGTTTAGTGCAGGGGACTTTATTGGTGTTTGCATAGGAATTTCTGGTAGTTGATACATAAATAAATGTGGTCGTAATGTTCTCTGCACCTTGAATATGAGTGCCAGTCACTCCTCTGAGTACATAACTAAATCACACAACTGTTCAGAGTGGGATGCTGTAGTTTATCTCTGTTGGTCTGTTTAGAAAACTAGAAGCCACCCGAGTGATGTAACACTGTAGAATAAGATGCACTGGAGGAACTGAGACCGTGATGATAGTAACAGGGTAACATAAGCTGTGTATCTCTAGAACTCATATTCCTAACAGGCGTCATGTTGCTCTTTACTGACACGCTTGGATACAATTGTCACTCCAGTCTGTATGATATAGCTTGTTCCAAACATGCCATGATCTTCCTTCCTTGACTTGTCTGTCAAGGTACCTGAGCTGAAGTCACTGGAAGTCATGTGCCAAGGTCTTTATATTGGGCATAGACAATTACAGTAAGAGAAACTGTCTGCAAGACACTGTCTTAATCTACTCTTTTGCACTTGATATCATTCTTATGGCCCACTTGTTTCCAGTCCTTCATTTCTTTCCCATGTATTTTATAAACATCCAGATTAAAGTCCTCATTACCCAGATGACTCTGTTTGCCCTAGATTTTGAATGTTGTAGAATATCTTCTAGACTAATTTGAGTAGTTTTTACAATGGCTTCTTGCTGTTTTCTCAGTAGCCTTCCAATAACTCAAATTCTTAACAGATCAAAAGAATCCATTCAGGTTTGGCTGTGTAGAGAAGAAAATGGTCTTAAGGTTTGTTGTCCCCTGCCCTTTTTTCACTTAATGCCGGATATTTCAGTTACTGGACAGTCTTTGTTTTGGAATAAAAATGGCTTTACCTAGCCTAATCAAAGGTGTATTCATCTTGGAATGATTGTGAATGGGTGAATAATGATTTCATAAGGATGACACCTGTATAGTGGACTATCCTGGACAAACAGTATATGGCACCCTACTAGGGTAAGTCTGGGGGCTACCACTTACTGGAGGCCACAGTCTGTGGTTGAGTGTGATGCCAGCAGACACAGTTTTCATTGTCTCATCCTCCCCCTCACCTTTCACTCAGATGTGCAGCTTGGAAGAAAAAGCTTGTCTTTTGACTTCCTCTTTTCTTGGGGAGCAGTCAGTAGAGTGAGTATGGATGCCTCTTCAAAATGACAAAAATCTGTGGGGCAATTCTCATGTAAGAGTATCAGCTTCTTTTTCTTGGAAGTCTCTGTGGTTACACAAGTTATGTCCCTGTATAAGCATGTGCTGTGCCATAATGATAAATGCCAAACTGCTAGATAACCACATGGTTTTGCTTACGTTCAGTAAGTTCAATTTTCCATAAAAACTTGTTCAATGAGATCCTAAGGTGTACATTCTAGTTGATAAGGAATTTAATTGCTAGGGACTACAGAAACATTTGAAAGTCTTAGAGATAGTCAACTGAAACTAGTTAGTGAAATGAAGTAGTGCAAAGAACTGACTTAGCAGTCTCCCTCTCTCTCTCTCCCTCTGTCTCTCTCTCTCTCTCTCTCTCTCTCTCTCTCTCTCTCTCTGTATGTGCTTGGGAACCATGATAACTTAAAGTGTGTTGTTCCCTGGTACCATTCACTTTATATCTTTAAAAGTTTTTTATTTCACTGATTTTGTTTTTGGACAGAATATCTCATTGACCTGGGTATTCTCCAGCACTGGGATTATAAGCATGTGCCATCAACCCTGGCTTTTGTAGACATGGGTTCTGGAAATCAAATTTAAATTCTTACAAATCAAGAATTCTATAGTACACATGCAAGGAGACTTGACAAAGGTTGCTCCAAAGAGTTCTACCAGGAAGGGACACAGGCTAAGCTGCTGCTTCCAGAACATTCTTCTGTGAAAATGGCTATGGGGAATTGGAACATAGCAAATCACATGAATAAAGACAAAGTATGTGTTCAAAGTGCCATAGAACTCACAAATTGTGTTTGCCACACTGTTAGTTTTCAAAGTTTCTTTGTAGTTTCACAGCATATAATCTTTTGGTGGCATACCTAAATGTAATTAATGACATTAATTTCTGTATATGACTATAAATTGCAAGATATATTAATGGATTTCTTGAGTGTGTGTGTGTGTGTGTGTGTGTGTGTGTGTGTATGTGTATCTGTAGCTTTCTTAGAAATAAATACCACTATCTTGTTATAGAATGTCACATTTTACTCTCTGAGAATAGATTCCTTTTCTTCAGGGCAAAACAGACCCACAAATCTTTTAAGTTTTAGAAATTAGTGGAAGAGAATGTTTTCCCATAGCTTGTTTATAAATAAACCAAACCTAAGTTGATACAAGACTATTTCTGATTCATATCCCATTTTAATATGAATAATCATTTTTGTCACAGAAGTGCCAATGTATTTGATTCAGGATTGAAGATGTGTTAATTAATACACACTATGTACCGACACTACCTTCCAAAATTCAGTAAAATCTTGAGTATCAACATATCTGACATACTTCAAAAATTTTGATAATGTGATAATGGGCCTTCACATTTTCAGAAATGATACAGATTTAATCCAGAGATAATTTCCAATGCAATTTCCAGCTCCTTAGTATTGTAAACAATTATGGTAGTATTTTTCCTACCTAGCCATTTTTAATCAAGATGCATTTCCATAGTTACTTTGAAATGCTTGATTTCATAAGGCCACTAGGTGGCATCTTCATAAAAGTGGGAACACGTTAAAAGAAATAGCTTATAAATAAATGCTGAGATGTGTTAAGAGCAGTTTTCCCGACAGCCTGGTTCCACTGCTGTGCCAGCCCCAAATAACACACAGAGACTCTGTATTAGATATAAAGCTGTTGGCCTGAGACTAGCATTTCTTATTGGCTAGCTCTGTCTTAAATATTAACCCATTTCTATTAATCTGTTTTCACGTGGTCTTATCTTACCGGAGAGAGGCTCCGGACCTCTCCTTTCTCAAGTCTCTACATCTTGAATCTCCTACTACACCTCCCAGAATCCTTGTCTCCTAGTCCCACCTATCTTGCTTTCCTGTTTGCCAACAGTGCTTTATTTGTTAACTAATAAGAGAAACATATTTACAGAATGACATCTCCCATCAGAGATGACTGAAGGTAGAGGAGTCATTTTGACAACAAAACCTAAGAAAGTGTACAGATTTAGGATGAAAAGTAAAATCAAATGCTTTAGTATGGCACTTTTCATTTTGTAATTAATAGTGCTTTCCTATCACTATTTTCATTCAGGGAACATCGACACCTTCATGTGTTTGTGAGAGAGTGAGTACACTCTTGATGTGTTAGTCAGCTATCCAAGCTACATAGACTGCATAAGGAAAGTACTCTCTAAGAAAGGCTGTTGTAAAGTTGAGCATAAAAGGTTACATTTGTAGCATGTTCGTTATCAATACTTTGAGACGGGTAGCAGATATCAGTGGAAAGAACACAAACCTTTCTGCTGCCTGTTGTCTGCCCCATTTTCAACCTCTATTCTTATCCATAGTGTTTTCATACTGCCCCTAAAAGGAGGAGAATTAATAATAAACCTTTGAAGTGAAGGGGTGGGAAAGTGAATGTTAGTGGAGAGGTGAGTGTGGGATTGTAGCAACAAGGTATAAAGAAATGAACGCAAGCAATGACTAGTGTGGATGAGGGAACGGGCTGTATAGCAAGTTTTTAGTTTTATTAATCTCTTTAAATATCAAAGGATGTTAAACAGTAGCACGTATTGTAATGTAGTAAAGTGGCACGTGAGAAAGATGCCATGCAACAGCTTGGGTGGAGGGTTTTTCATTGGGAGAAAGCGAATGGGAAAAGGGCAGGGAGAGGGAAGACAGGCCTCTGGAAACATGAGCAGCAGAAGAGAAGGCAAAGGAGGAGAAGAGACAGATATGGAAAAAGGAGGGGGAAGATGGTAGGTGGGCAGGGCCCTTTTCAAGGGAACATAGTGAATGTGCACAGGTGGTGCTCTTAGTGGGTGCAGCTGAGGGTGTATCTGTCAGAAACCCAAGGACAGGTCAGTCAGTACAGGTGCCTGAATACTAACAATAAAAGGGGGTTTAAAATCTGGGCTGCCTCTCTTATTAAATCTTTGTGTGTTTCATTTTCCTGAATAACACAGTAATGCTAATAACAGTCCCTCAATAGAATCATTGCATTAATTATTCAAAATATAGATATGGTGCTTAATGACAGTACTCACTAAACGTTAGCTGTTATGAGATAACCACATGAAATTGGTGCAGTGCACATAGTAGATCTTTTCTCTAAAATTGTGATTTTAAAACTTTAAAGAAGTTGAGGACAGAAAGAGGAGTATTTAATAGTTCTCCTGATCTCTGGCAGCCAGGAAGCTACAGCAAGGGTTGAAACTGGACTCTTTTGTCAACCCTGTCTCTCGGTGCTTATATTTGCATTTTTAAAGAAAATAACCTGAGTTTAGACTGCTACAGATTACGTTTTCAAAGTGAAAGAGCTACTGGAGGAGAGAGGTCAGCTTCGAATCACGCTAAGGTCTAGGTTCCTGGCGTCTTACAATCTCCACTTTTGTCTTCTCGGCTTTTGCTCTTGCTGCCTAGTTCCTTTGCAACTGCTCGGGGCGGTGCCCTGGAGGAGGAAGCTGCTAGTTGCTAGGATACGGCCAGCAACAGAACATCTAAGCAGCAAGGGGCTGCTTCCCAGGACTGGAGAAACCTCTTGGTCTGTAATAGCTGTGTTTCTTGAGCAGGTAAGGGGACACATTTGGCGTCCCTCTTCTAGATGACTGCTGGTTCTAGATGAGGGTGACTGTGTATGGACTTTACAGGGGTGCCAATCTCTCTTGGGCGCCAGGACCGTCTGGTCTGGAGATAATGCTCCATAACTTTAGACAACACCTTTTTTTTTTTTTTTTTTGCCCCTTCTCTAGCTACTCCCCCACCCCGTGCCCCCAGATTTGATATCTTCTATCAACAGGGTCAAGGTGTACATCACCCTTCCTCCTGGGTGCTGATGATGGTTAACGCTGGAGAAGGAGAGTCAGGTGCCTGCATCTGGCTTCCTATGGTGACCGTTTCCAGTCTGTAAGGATTCAGGGCCTCCAGACTTTCCTCACCAGACACACTGCTTTCCTGTACTCATCATTTCACCTACCAACAAAAACTTAAGTAGGCCCATTTCATAGAAGGCAGCAGCCTTACCAGTATTCTAGATGCAGCAGGCTTTAAATGGGAAGAAATGAAATCATGACTCGAGGTGAAAAGGGCAGAACTTAATAGCTATCGCGTTTTATTTTTAAACCATATGACTAAAACCTTTTTGAATAGGTAATATATAAAAATGAGGAAAATTATTCACCCTTGGGGATGCATGTCTCTTAGCACTGTAGAGATGAGGCAGGAGGATGGCAGGTTGAAGGACAGCCTTGATTACACAGTGATATGATGTGTCAAGAGACCCGCACCTCCACTAAATAGCCTGACAGTCTGTCTGTATTATTCACTGTTCTATTTCTGTGAAGAGATACCATGACCAAGGTAACTCTTATAAAAGGAAAGCATTTAATTGGGGGCTCACTTACAGCTTCAGAGATTAGTTAGTCTATTATCCTCATGGCAGGGAGCATGGTGGTATACAGGCAGGTTCTGGAACAGTAGCGGATAGCTACATCCTGATCCACTCACAGAGAAGTGGGGGGGGGACTAGGTCTAGACTGGGCTTTAAAAACCTCAAAGCCCACCTCTAGGGACACACTTCCTCTAACAAGGCTACACCTCCACATCCTCTTAATCCTATCAGAGTTCCACTCTCTGCTGACTAAGCATTCAAACATATGAGTCTATGGGGGCCGTTCTTATTCAAACCACCACATGCTCTAACAATGAAAAACTGAATGTCAGACATCTTTCACCTACCCATTCCCCTCCTCTCCACCCATTCTAGAGTTGTTCAAAGTATATGTGCCGTGTAAGTGAAGTTGACATGAGTGCATACTGTATTAACACCGTATATCTCAGAGTAATTTCCTATAGGTATTTCCTGCCCTGCCTTATTTTTCATACATTTGTTACATGTTGAGGCAGTTTTTCTCAGGACATCATGTAACTTGGAAACTCATAAACAAAAAGATTCATAAATTTCCCTACCAAAGAATTCAAAAGCAGTCTAGTAAAAGACAATATTACACCAAGTGCACAATTGGTAACACATTTATAATATACAACAAAGGGTTGTTTAAATGAAGGTACTTAATGTCCCAATACAAAGATGAAAGGAAATGTCAAGTGGCAGCAAGCAATATAGTGTTGAATTTTAAGAAAACATTTTGATGGCATTTAATGGAGATCTGAATGTATTTTGACATCTTCATCTAATTATAGAAAATTTTTTATAGTGTGTTTTAGCTTGTCGATAAAGATGATGTACATTTGTTGCAGCCATGCTTTTTACTTGTATATCATTAGGGACACATGAAATGTTCTTCACTAGAATGGAACATAATGTGGCTTCCTTAGCTCTACAAAGAAGTTACTACACAATTGATGAGAAAAATAAAGTACAAATAAATGTTTAAAAATGTTAAGTATAGGTTTGGCAGTGGTGGCACACACCTTTAATCCCAGCAGTTGGGAGGCAGAGGTAGGCAGGTCTCTGTGAGTTTGAGGCTAGCCTGGTCTACAGAGTGAGTTCCAGGACAGCCAGTACACAGAGAAACCCTGTCTTGAAACAAACAAACAAACAAACAAAAAACCCCAACCAACCAAATAGATGTTAAAGATATATTAAGTGAAAAACAACTAAACTTCATCAATGTTTAAAATACACAGAAATGTTTATATAGTTAAAGATATATGGTTCCAATTATGAACATCTATGAACAATTTGTAGAACTGTATTGCTCGACATTGAGAGATAGAACTAGAGTATTAACAATACGAGGTTTCTGTTACTGTTTATTTTATCCCTTTCTGTTCTAGTACCTATATTTTTTCTTTTAAGAATATTATGGCCTCTTAAAAATGAAATTATTTAATAACATTGTATAACATTAATTAAAAAACTTGCTAATAAATAAAAACTTCAGAAACCCAAATTAACCAGACCCAAGATCTATACAACTCAGTGAAGTTTTATACAGTTAGAATAGGCATTTGAAATGAAAGATGTGGAACTTTACATTCAATTTTACACTTTAAATTTTGTTGTGCCTACCGGGTTTCCTCATCCAAGGAAGTGACTCCCGACTGCAAAAGCAACAGGTTTTTATTGCTAAGAACCTAACTGGCTGGGACCTCACTCTATCAGAAGAGTAAGGTGCCTGCTTACAATTGAGAAGTGTTTTTAAAGGGGAAGGGAGGTTTGAGACTGCTAGTCTCAGCCCATAAGGTTTCCAAGGTTACAAAGATTTCATAGAGTACAACATTTTTATAAGGTGGGATTGTTTAGTGCACCTGCAAGGTTAGGGGGTTTTCTTTGTCCAGGACTGGTTGGCTCAGTGGCCTTGTCCTTAAGATAATGGGGGACAGGGAGAATGTCCTCTCCAGTCAGGGAGTTATCTGTATCTATTGGCAGAAGCACTTGTTCTTTCTGGTTTTCCCTTCTTGCCATGAGTCCTGTATCTTTTAGTTTTTAATTTTCCTTCACAAATATCAAATATATTTTATGTACTTATTCACCACTAAACCCAAAATTGTTGGTGACAAAAATTAGGATTAGAAGACAATTATCTTTATATTCTCTTTCATAGCTTGTGTTATAAAATTATAATAAAATTTAGAAAGTTAAAAATCAATTTAAAAACCATTCCAAATTGTAGCTGGGATGCTGTAGGTACCTATTCAGGCTGGGGCTTCACAGCCCTTTCCAGCTCATTCGGTAGTGTGTATTCTTGGTTATTTGCAAGTGAAACGTGCTGCAGTGAGTGTTTATATAAATTTATGTATGCAAGTGGAGTGTGTTACTAGACATATGGAGAGTGTTAGGAATAGATATTAATTAGCAGCTTACCCTAGCTGAGTGAGGATAAAAACCTGCGGTTTGTACCCTCTACTCCATTCGAAACCATTGGCATGTTTTGACTTGCAAATACAAGATAGTCTCTGATGGTGAAATTTCTGTTTAACTTCTGGAGCTGGCAAGTAACACACACTGGGGCATTCCCCAAATCTAATTAGCTTGTTCATATGGATGGAATTGGCAGTCCCAAGCAAGACCTTTTCTTCTACCCTGGTGCCATCTGGCATGGGGTGGTGCAACCAGAGGTTCCCTTGCCAGATTGGCACCATGTTGCTTTCACTCTTCAGGACTGGGAGTTAAATAAACCACATTTCTTTCCAAAACTATGAATCTTGGAATCCTAAGATGACTGCAGCAATGCCTTCTGAAGGGAGACCCTGGTGACCTTCCACTAGGTTCCATCATTTAAACTGAATCATGTAAGGCCAACCTTGCAACACAGGAACTTCTGGAGTTATAAGCCCAAACTCTCAGTTACTGTAACTTTGACTCCAATTACCTTGCAACATGCCCTATGTTTGATGTCTCTTTGGGGGTCAGAGGTCAACAGAGGTCATTGGGGTCTCTGCTTCTGTTTGTGAGAGTAGAGCTAATGTAGTATGTGTGTGTGTGTGTTGTCCAGTGTATATTATCTGGTTGATTGTTTGAAAATTTGAATCCTTTCTATTGCCAGAAGCTATTATATCACATTAGTTTTATATTTAAAAAAAATTCCCTAAACACAAAACAACCAGGTCTTTTCTTAAAGAAGTATGCTTTATTGAATAAAAAAAAAAAAGTTTTTTACTTCCAAATGTTCCCAGAGAATATCATATTCCAAATTCTATTTTAAGGTTCTCTGGTTTCTTTTTTTTTATTTTATTTTCAGTATTTTTAAAAAATTAAACCCCATTTGTGATTTAACCTGTCACTAGTAAGAAAATAAACCTTAAAAAAAAAAAAAAGGATCAGTATTTCAGGTGTCTGAGAGCTTTGTCTGCATATATGTATGTGCGCCACATATGTGGCTGGTATTTATGGATGCCAGAAGACGGCATCAGATCCCCTGGAACTGAAGTCTCAGACTGTTGTGAGCCTTCCCACAGTGCTCGGGAACCAAAGCCGGGTCCTCTGCAATATCAGCAAGTGCTCTTAACCGCATAGCCATTGGTGCCGCTCCAGCAAGTAGCTCTTGGGTGTCGCAACTTTAACTATTTGTCTTAATTTAGGAAAATGTCTGACACGGAGGAGCATGTTGACCTTCAGAAGCAAGCCGAGTCCACAGCAGACAGCGAAGCGACTGCCGATGTCATCAGTATCCCTCGGCCTTTAGAAGAAGTAGAAGAGTCAGATGTTACTGCCGAGCAAGAATCGGAAGTAGAGGAATTCACAGAGAGCGAGGGAACCACAGAGGGGCGCAGTGAACGCAGCATTTCCACTGCAAAATCGTATGATCCCAAACACAGGGACGAGGGCGGGTCCTCTGAAAATGATGTACACTCTCAGGAAGAAAAGCAGAAGTATGCAGAGTATCGGAGACTAGAAGAGGACCACATGTTATTTCTGAATCAAATAAAAGCTATAAAGGAGAATGTGCAGATGTCAATAAAAGAATCTTCAGCAACAGGTAGTAGCCATAGGAGACCAGACATTGTGTTTCTCTATTTCAAAGGGTAACTTTTTTGTCTAATTTAAAATTCAATGAAAAAGTTTAAAAGTTTAGTTTAAAATTCGTGTGTGTGTGTGTGTGTGTGTGTGTGTGTGTGTGTGTGTGTGTTTATGTATTTCAAACAGAATAGGAATTGAATGTTTTTAGGAACCTTGAAAATTGGGAACAGGTTCTGAGTAAATTCATTTTATCATTGTTTTGTTTTGGCTTAGAGATTTGGAGTTACTGTTTTTTGTCTTGTTTTTAATAATATATATATATATAGTGTTCTGATTACATAACAGAAGAGGGTACTAGATCTCATTTTAGATGGTTGTGAGCCACCATGTGGTTGCTGGGAATTGAACTCAGGACCCCTGGACGAACAGCCAATGCTCTTAACCTCTGAACCATCTCTGTAGCTCCTGGAGTTAATTGTTGCACATACCTAGCAAGATATAATATGGAAGCTGATTCCAGATCCTCATTCGCTTTGGGTATTCCATTATATACGGTGCTGCCTTTACATTTTTGTTTGTTTGTTTTTGGATGGTTGGTACAAAACCGTATATACAGCTCAGGAAAATGCATTTTGGCTTTCATTTTAGGCCAATTTTAATGACATATATAGAACAATGTGGATGCCATGTAGGTGTTATCAATACTTGATAACAGTAGCAACACAATGGTTACATTGCTGCTGACTGCTCAGTGCTTGAGAATTTCCACCCATAGCAAAAAGAATTGGGGATCTGATTTAACAGCAGTAATAGCATCAGCAATGAGGGGGCAGAGACAGCTCCTACTGTCACCCTCAGCACTGAAGAGCTCCAGAAATCCTTTAGGGACTCATTCAACCTAAGCCTAACCAGTATCGTAACTCCAACACAGAAGGCAATTTCAGGACAAGCCAAGATGGTGCAGAGTTGGATAATTTGTTACAGACTCTAAGCATGATTTTCTAAGAAAGGAATCTCTCAGGGGGAAAGTAAACCACACCTGAGAGCATGGGCGTGGGCTCTGCAAGAGACCTGATTAACTGCCTTACCATTTGCCATGTATACCGCTTTGGTGGCTTTTCAAGTTTCACTTCAAAAGGTTATTTGAGACACTTATTTCCTTCTCTATAGTCTGATAAAGCAGAACAAGGAGCCAGTGGGATTGCATGTCGTCCTTTCTCTATTTACGGGTTTTCTGGTGAGACTCCCTGAGGACTGCAGGCTTAGAGCTGGGCTGGGAGTGAGCAGCTTCAGCTCTACTGGAATCCCTGCTTGTCACCCATCGAGTGGCAGCAATCTGATAGTTGAGGGGTTCCTTTCCCTTCTCATGGCCCTACAGCTTCCTTGTCTTTCTATCCTACCTCAAGAGCTTTGGTGAAATGTAGCTCTAAAACATAGAGGTGGCGGCTCGATGATGCTACGTGCTGTGCTGTGATAACAATGACAAGGAGCAGACTGAGAAGAAAAGTTTGCCAGTCTCACCAGACAGAGCCCAGTAGCTCTCAAATCAGTTATTCCATATGAATTTTTATGCTATTTTGGATATTTTAGTAATCCCTTTTTAATGTAATCCACACCAAATGCATAGTGATTAAAAACAAACAAACATGAAAAAAAAAAAAAAAAAAAAAAAAAAGAAAGAAAGAAAAGAAAAGAAAAACCCGTGTTCTACTTTCTCATTCTTTAGATACAGGTTGCTGACCCTTGCTGTATTTGCTGATGATTTTTTTCTCTTTTTGTTTACAGTAAAAATTGTACTTATTCCTGTAGGCCAGGAAATCATAATGCCTTTTAGAGTTGATGCTCCATTTAGATTCCTCAAGGAGCACTTTGCACACCTCTTGCGTATCCCACATTATGTACTGCAAATAACACATGCAGGTGAGTTTGAAGGCTAAGAAATTTATCAAGACTGTCTTGATTTTAACACGTAAAACACCTTTGATCTTTAAAACTATCAGCATTGCAAATGGGGGGTGGTGGTTATACGTTAGCCCACGTAACGTGCCTCTATAAACACACATTTCAGTCTAGATCCTTTGGATATAACTGGACATTCTCAGAATCATGAAGAACTATTCCTGTCCTCAGGTCATTTACAGATTATCAAGGAAGGATTGCATGGGGGGTAGTTATCACATAACCATGGAGGTGCTTTCATGGAAATGGCCACTCAAACTTGAATATTACAGAGGAAGGAATCTAGGTGGCTATAGGACAGTTCAGACAATGAAAGTGATAATTTTTGGGTCAAGTTCCAAAGGGGTGGGGAAACTCGATGATGTCTTAAGTGAGTGGAAGAGAAATGAAACTGAACAAAAAATGGGTGCTGAAGAAGATATAGATAGAACACAAATATAGTTCATGAGTTCTATATACATGAAGGCCATTTTCACAATGTAAAATTTACTTGCATTTTGTGGATGTCATTGAGAATCTCTGCTTATGCTACTCAGTCTTATGTGGTAATTAGGTAAGTTCTTTGTAACTGTGCTGGTCTACTAGGTTAGCATAGCTGATATGTTTATGTTGGAAATATATGAACAAATCCTAATGTTTTCATTAAAATGGTTTTCTGTATTAATTTATAAAGGTGTCACAAATAGTTTTTAGGGAATAAATTTAGTTCTAAATTAAATTCTAAAAGCTTAGGCATGGTATGATGGCACAGCAGATCAAAGTACTTGAAGCGAGCCTTAAAACCTGAGTTTCATCCCTGGGACAAAACGGTGGAAGGAGAGAACTGATTCCTTCAATTTGTCCTCTGGCTGCCACTCCTGTGCCATGACATGCACACACACATGTGCATGAACACACACACACACACACACACACACACACACACAGAATAAATAAGGGAATAAAGTGCAATAAAAGTTTTAAACCCTAAAAGAGTGAATGAAAGCCAAATGTTAAGATGTATTGAAAACCAATTAAAGGTTGATTGGGCAGATCAAGCTAAAGTATGGAGTGATTGTCAAAAAATGATAATGATGATCACAATGGTAGAGTCATTAGCATATGTTGGTATTTCTATAAGATATTATGATTATTCATTTAATTCACACAGCAACCATTTGAGGGAGATATATATTATTACTAACTATTTGGAGAGTAACTAAGGGAACTCCTATAAAGTCACTAATAAGTGGCTGAGTTTGAAATGAATGGCATCAAAGAGGGACGTTTAAACTACAGGTTATTAACTCAATTGTGAAGTTTAGAATCAGAGGCTACAGAGAACTTAGAGATCCAGTAAAGGATATCAATAAAGGGGATCTTTATCCTTGGTGTTTTATGACTGACCATTCTTCTTTATAATTACTGGTACAACCTCTGGGTGACAAGTCAGCACCAAAGAGAGAAATGTGAGATTCCATGCCAGGCAACCACCCTGAAGAACAGGTGCCTTCTTCCTGCATGAGAGCTATAGTTCAAACTTGATGGGTCTGTTCTCACTCTAGAAAAGAACAGCCTAGAAATCACTATTTAGCTTAGGTTGCACTTGAACTCTTAGGTTAGTGAACATTCTGCCTCAGCCACTCCTTTGCTAGAATTATAGCCATGAGCTGCTATGACTGGATTTATTTACTTTTATTGATATGCAATCACATACATATTTATGATGCTTCAGCAAGATTTAAAATATGAATCAATAGAGCAGAATAATCAAAATGTCCATCTTTTTAACTCTTTTTGTTATCTATTCAATATGTTAAATTGTTTTGAATTATAGTTACTGTCTTGTGGACTTTTCTGTACTAACATTATAGCGTGATGTAGAATTCACTAATACTGCATTTAGTAATTTACTGACATGTGTTCCTACAAGCATCTTTGATATTCACCCTTTTCTTAAAATAGGAATGACTGTTGATCACTGAATATAATTGTGATTGTACTTAACGGCATGCATTATATGCTTGAAAACTACTAAGATAGTAAAATTTAAGTGTACTCACCATAGAAAGTGTGTGAGGTATAGGATTTGTTAACTTGATTTAACCATTTCACAACCTGGGCATGTGTTGATTATAACATCATTTGGTACAACTTAAACACACAGTTTTCTCAACTTAAAGTAAGAGTGAACAGAAACAGCCATTTCATTGCCATAAACCATCTTAACACTTTCATTTTCTCAGGAATAATTGTTGGGAATAATGAATCTCTAATACAATATGGAGTTAAACCACAGGAAATTGTCCAGGTGGAGATATTTTCCACACATCCCGATGAATATCCAGTCAGAAGAGTAGAAGGCTTGAGCGAGGGCTCCCAGATCATAACGGTCACCATACAGACTGGTGAGTCCTTTGATGTCTTTTAGAAGGTGTTCCAGAGTGCCCTTGGGTTGAACTTTCCTTCAGTCTTGGTTTTCATCTTCTTAGGCACTGATAACTACGAGGAGGTAGCTGTTGAGATAATAAAAACCGACTTCCACAAGCCATTTCTTGGTGGATTTAGACATAAAATAACAGGAGTAGAATACCACAATGCTGGAACACAAACCGTACCAAGAAAGATTCCTGAAAAATTCAATCTGTTTTGTAGGGACACCCAGGTAATTTTTTAAGTTTCCTGATTATGAGTGTGGCATTATAGGATCAGTAATGGCATACTCTATGAGTCCCTTAAAATTTGGCACAAGTCAAACAGCTTTGAGATTGACCTTACTGGGGACAGGTAATGAAGAAATGACAGATAAATGGGAATCTGGTGGTGAGTCCTATGCCCTGATGGAGATTCAGCAGAGCCCATAAACTGTGCATTTATTATGTACCTCTGAATATGGCCTCTACTGTGGAAGGAGGAGGTTTGCTCATTATATTCAACTGATAAGGAGTCAGTTAATCTTGTAGGGTCTCTTGGGGAGCACTGTCAGGCTGCAGTCATCTGGGAGGAGGAGGAGGTTATTTTCTACACACACTGTCCACATCATTACTTTGACCAAGGGAAGGTCTTGCTACTGCCCTGGTTTCTGACCTGGGGAAGGCTTTGTGATTTCTATGGGTCTGAGGCACTGTGTCCTTGACATGGCTATGCTCATGTCAATCATACATACCCACTCATCTACTCCCCACATAGTTATTTGTATGGCAACTAATATAACAAAAGAAAGATTAATGTAAATACATAGAAAAACACTTTCCACTTGCAGATGTTTGTAAGATTTTCTTTATAGTAGGAACTGTACAATAGGTGCTTATTTTTTAATGTTTTTTATTTTAGACAGTTTTTCAGAGGAAAAAGATGCAACAAACTACAAACACGACATCCACTCAGATGAATAAAATTGGTGTGTATGTATCAAACATGACTGATAAATTGCTCAAGCCAGGAAGGTACTTTACAGCAGCAGAGTTCCATGCCAAAAGGTTGCATGCGGTAAGATAGCATTCACTGTGCTTGAACACTGAAAATTATATGTGTATGCCCATTCTTCTGTGTGCATTTCCCTAACATGGCAGCTTGAGGAACAGCAACATGAATAGCATTCAATTGTTACTAAAGGCAATCATCCTGAATAACCCTCCATTTAAATAACCGGACTCTGTATAAGTAACAGAATTTAAAAGTTTTGCTAATTCTCCCTGTTCCCCAAGGAGTCACCTCAGGTGTTTTTGTGTAATCTGTGGCCATTACTAGAGTTCTCAACACTTCTGTACTTTGCTCATAACCCTATTGTAGTGAGGTAGTCCTTCTGTAGCACTGACCACGCCCATTGGGGGGGTGGAGCGATGGGCGGAGGTGACCCGAGGAAGGAGGTCGGAGGGGGCCAGGAAGGCGCGCTCTCTTTCTGGCGTGACTGTGACTCGGACAGGAGAGGATCGGGTTGAATTTCCTGGTGTTCATCTGTCTAGGTTGTAAGTTATTTCTCCCTGAATAAACATCTATTCGGCCTATTTGTTTATCCTGATCCTTATTTACCGCAATACCCTATGTCAGTACAGTCAAATGGGGACCTCCCAAACTAATTGAGGTCAAACACAACATGGCAGTTTGACTTCTCTGATACTTATATAATTTCTCCACTATTTTAGTGTTTGGATGCTTTGTCTTTTTTCATCATTTTACTTCCAACCTAATTGATATATATATATATATATATATATATATATATATATATATATATATATAATCAATATATATTACATATAAGCCAGGCTCTTTTTCTAGCTTAGCCTAACCAAGATCTTGAGCAATGAACATGTAATACAAAAAAGTTAAAGCCTATTAACTGTTTGCCCCTGTGGAAACTCTACCAGGGCCATTTCTGGGCTAGCTTGTAACCTGACTGTATCAGTGCCAGCTATGTCAACCTGATGAGTTTTTTACTTTTTTTTTAAATTAAACTTGGGAAAGCATACAGTTACACAGAATATTGAGAAACTTAAGTACTCTTGGCACTGTGAGTGCATAAGAAGGCTGTATGTAAATGGTTCAGCATATGCTGTGTCATGGACCAGGGTGCAGCTTCCTCCAGAGCAAAGTGACTAGAGTTGTGAACGTGTCTATTCTCTGAAGCTCTCTGAAGATTAGCTTCTCAGTTCTAAATCCAGACTGTGTCTCTTTGTCACAGGAGTGAGATGTTTCATCTTCACTCATCTTATTTCAAACAGCAAAGTTCCCGACAGTTCATGACTTTAGAGGACAAAGTTTCTCAGTGAGTAAGAGAACAGTAGGCATTCAAAGAAAGGGATTGCTATGGTAAGAGTTGAAGAGAGTTTCTGTCTACTCTGTAGCTGACTTCATTAGCACCGTTAGCTGGCTCTGGCTTCCTTCTTTTTAAATTTTATTTTATATTTGATATTACAATATTATTACATTTCTCCCTTCCCTTTCCACCCTCCAAACCTTCCCATGTACGTCTCCTCACTCTCCTTCAAATTCACAGCCTCTTTATTGCAATATATATACATATATATTTAAATATAGATACCATAGACATATTGAAATAACAAATATATGTTCTCTTTTACTGATGGCTCCTAGCTTCAAATCTTCAGGTGTGAGAACATGGCATGTAGTATCTACAGGAACCAAGAGAGTAAAATGTGACTGTTGCCAGTACAGTGGGAATCGAGAACAAGAGAGTGGAGGATAGCAGGGTACAGTTGATGTGATCAGGGAAATGGGAAAGGGGAGAGTCTTTAGGAGGGGGTGGGATGTAAATACTGACAGGAGGTGGAGGCTAAAGAGGAACAAACGGATACAAGTGATCTGATAGGGGAAGAGGGCAAAGAGGAGGCTCCCTAGGGAAGGTGGAGGGAGGTAATAGAGCAGGAGGAAGGAGATGGATAAAATAACATTATGAATGTCTGAAAAAGCCACAAGGGATCATCTTATTAACTATTTGCCTTAAAAAGTATAATGCATGCCATTATGTGTATATGTGTATGTATGTGTATACATATACATATATAGTTTTAATGATTTTTTTTTTCTCATTTGGACTGGGGTATCTTTCAAAATGTCCTATAAGTGTGGAGAATTACTTGTTCTCATGTTCAAGAAAGCCATGGAGACTCCATCGGGTAGATTTCATTTAGTGCAAGTCTACACAAGTGAAGGTCTACACATACAAAAATTTTTCCTCCATGCTTCCAAATATAATAACAGTCTAACCCAGTGGTTCTCAACCTTCCTAATGGTGTGTCCTTTTAATACCGTTCCTTATTCTGTGGTGACCCCCATCATAAAATTATTTCATTGCCACTTCATACTGTAATTTTGATACTGTTATGAGGCATAATGTAAATATCTAGTTCATGACCCACAGCTTGAGAACCACTGGCTCCAACTTGTTTTTTCAATATATGCACGTGTACCTTCTTGCTACCTGTTTCAAAAATACAATTTTGTTGTGAATATGTGTTTAAACTAGTAGCCACTCTATAAGCTAGAGATAGGGTTTTTAAGGGCTGTAATGTTTATTGAACTAGTCTTCAGCTAAGCACTTTCTATGCCTACTGCTATTGTATAGAGAGTGGTTAGCTACTTAAAGCCAGGCAACAAGGACATAGCAGAAGGAAAATTTATACCAATGTTCTAGAATTTGTGCTCTTTTTTAATTGATTGATTGATTGATTGATTGATTGATTTTATATACTGAATGTAGCCTCCCCTCCCTCGTTTCCTTCCTCTCTCTCCCATGGGCATCAGCAAAGCATGCCGTATCAAGCTGCCACAAGACCATGGGCAAGGAAATCCAGTGTGAGGAATAGCTTCCCAAGGTCAGCCAAAGCACCAGGGACAACCCTGCTCCCATTACCAGGAGTCCCACAAATAGACCAAGCTACACAACAGTCACACATGTGCAGAGGGCCTATGGAGGTCCCATGCAGGCTCTATGGTTGTTGGTTCAGACTCTATGAATTCCATGAGTGAGAGCTATCCATTTCTGTGGGTTTTCCTTCATTGTCCCTGAGGCCCCTGGCTCCTACAATCCCTCCTCCCTATCCTCAGTGGGACTCCTTGAGCTCAACCCACTGTTTGACCTGGGTCTCTGATTCTGCCACCATCAGTCACAGGATGAAGGCTCTCCAATGATGACCTGAGTAGTAACCAACCTGATCACAGGGGATGGCCAGTTCAGGCTATGCCTCTACTGCTGCCAGGAAGTCTTAGCTGGGGCCATCATTGTGGACTCCTGGAAGTTTCCCTTCCATCTGGATTTTACCTGACTCCATAAAAGTCCCCCATTTCTAGTCATCTTCCTTAGCATTCTTCCTCTCTACCCACCCCAACCTGATCCTTCAAGTTTCCATGCCCACTCATCTCCAATCCAACGAAGAGATCTCTTCCCTTTCCCCCTGGGAGATCCATGCACCCCCACCCCCACTTCCTTGGGCCTGGTTATCCTTTACAGATAATACACACGTATGAGTGAGTACGTACCATGTTTGTCTTTCTGGGTCTGGGTTACCTCACTCAAGATGATTTTTTTCTAGTTCCATCCATTTCCCTTCAAATTTCCTGGTGTCATCGCTTTTAACAGCCGAGTAATACAACATTGTTTAAATGCACCACATTTTCTTTATCCATTTCTTTGTTGAGGGACATCTAGGTTGTTCCCAGGTTCTGACTGTTATGAATAAAGCTGCTGTGAATGTAGTTGAGCAAATGTCCTTGTGGTATGGTTGAGCATTCTTTGGGTATATGCCCAGGAGTTGTATTCCTGGGTCTTGAGGTTGATGAATTCCCAGTTTTCTGAGAAATGGTCATATTGCTTTTCAAAGTGGCTGTATAAATTTGGGCTCCCACCAGCAATGGAGGAGTGTTCCTCTTGTTCCACATCCTTGCCAGCAAGAACTCACTTATGGTTTGGTCTTAGCCATTCTGACTAGTGTCAAGTCATTTTGATGTGCATTTCCCTTATGGCTAAGAATGTTGAGCATTTCTTTAAGTGTTTCTTGGCCATTTGAGATTCTTCTGTTGAGAATTCTCTACTTAGGCCAGTACCCTATTTATTTTTTTAATTGGATTATTTGTTTTTTTTTTTTGATGTCTAGTATCTTGAGTTCTTTATATATTTTGGAGGTTAACCTTCTGTTGGATGTAGGGTTGGTGAAGGTATTTCCCCATTTTTGTGGGCTGCTATTTTATCCTATTGACAGTGTCCTCTGCCTTGCAGAAGCATTTCAGTAGGATTGTGGATTTATACATGGGTCTTTGATTCAATTCCACTGATCTATGTGTCTGTTTTTATGCCAACACTATACAGTTTTTATTATCATAGCTCTGTAATAGAGCTTGAGATTGGGGTTGGTGGTACTTCCAACAGTTCCTTTATTATATTATTGTTGGGGATTGCATTGAATCTATAGATTGCTTTTGATGAAATGCCCATTTTTACTATGTTAATCCTACCAAACCATGTGCATGAGATCTTTCCATCCGCTGATTTCTTCTCCAATTTCTTTCTTCAAAGACTTGAAGTGCCTGTCTTACAGGTCTTTCACTTGCTTGGTTAGAGTTACCTCAGGGTATTTTATACTGTTTGAGGCTATTGTGAAGGGTGTTGTTTCTCTGATTTCTTTCTCAGCTCTTTTATTATTTGTATAAAAGCGGGCTACTGATTTTTTTTTTGAGTTAATCTTTTATCCAGCTACTTCACTAAAGGTGTTTATCAGAAATTTCCTGGTGGAATATTTTTGGTTGCTTATGTATACTATCATGTCATCTGAAAAAAGTGATACTTTGATTTCTTCTTTTCCAATTTTTATCCCCTTGATCTTCTTTTGTTGTAATTGCTCTAGCTAGAACTTCGAGTACTATACTGAATAGATATGGAGAGAGAGGAAAGCCTTATCTTGCTCCTGATTTTAGTGGAATTGCTTTGAGTTTCTCTCCTTTTAATTTTATGTTGTCTGTTGGCTTGCTGGTTATCGCTATTCTTATATTAAGGTATGTTCCATGAACCCTGATCTCTCCAAGTCTTTTAACATGAAGGCATGTTGGATTTTGTCAAGGCTTTTTCAGTATCTAATGAGATGATCATGTGGTTTTTTGTTCCCCTATCAGTTTGTTTATGTGGTGGTTTACATTGACAAACTTTCATATATTGAATTATTCCTGTATCTCTGGGATGAAGCCCACTTGATCATAGTGGATGGTCTCTTTTAATGTACTTTTGGATTCAGTTTGCCAGCATCTTATTGAGTTTTTTTTTGCATCAATGTTCATGAGGGAAATTGGTCTGTAACTTTCTTTCTTTGTTGAGGCTTTGTGTGGTTTTGGTATCAGGGTAACTGTAGCCTCATAGAACTAATTTGGCAATGTCCCTTCTGTTTCTATTTTGCAAAATGATTTGAGGAGTAATGAACTAATTTGAAAAATAATTTGAGATATTAGCTCTTCTTTGAAAGTCTGATAGAATTCTGCACTGAAACCGTCTAGGCTACTTTTGGTTGGGAGTCTTTTAATGACCACTTCTGTTTCCTTGGTGGTTATAAGTCTATTAAATTGTTCATCTGATCTTGGTTTAATTTTGTTATGTGGTATCTATCAAGATTTAGATTGTGGATTTTGAAGTATGATCTAATGATTGTATGGATTTTCTTAGTGTCTGTTGTTATGGCCCCTTTTTTATTTTTTATTTTGTTAATTTGGATAATCTCTTTCTGTCTTTTTTTAGTTAATTTGGATAAGGGTTTGTCTGTCTTGTTGATTTTCTCAAAGACTTGATTCTTTGTTTCATTGATTCTTTGTATTGTTCCCTTTGTTTCTATTTTATTGATTTCAGCCTTCAGTTTGATTATTTCCTGCCACCTACTCCTCTTGGCTGTTTGCTTGTTTTTGTTCTAGAGCTTTTAGGTGTTCTGTGTGTTCTGTTAAGTCTCTAGTATGAAGTTTCTCCAAATTCTTTATGAAGACAATTAGTGCTATAAACTTGGCTGTTAGTGCTACTTTCATTGTGTCCCATAAGTTCGAATGTGTTGTGTATTCATATTCATTGAATTCCAGGAAGTCTTTAGTTTTTTTCTTTATTTCTTCCTTGATCCAGTGGTAATTCAGTTGAGAGTTGTTCAGTTCCCTTGAGTGTGTAGGCTTTCTATAGTTTTGTGTTGTTGAATCCCAACTTTAATCCATGGTTATTCCACTTTATTTATTTATTTATTTATTTATTTATTTATTTATTTATTTTGGTATCTGTTAAGACTTGTTTTGTCACCAAGTATATAGTCAATTTTGGAGAAGGTACCATGAGGTTCAGAGAAGAAGGCATTTTTTTTTTGGTGTTTGGGTGAAATAGTTTGTAAATATCTATTAGGCCATCTGTTAGCTCATAACATCTGTTAGTTCTGTTATTTCTCTGTTTAGTTTATACCTACATGACCTGTCCATTGGTGTGAGTGAGGTGTTGAAGTCTCCCACAATTAATGTGTGGGTTTGATATGTGATTTTAGCTTTACAAATGTTTATTTTATAAATGCAGATGCACTTGTGCTTGTGGCCTAGATGTTCAGAATTGAGAAATCATCTTGGTGGATTTTTCCTTTGATGAATATGAAATGTCCTTCTCCATCTCTTTTGATTAATTTTGACTTGAAGTCTATTTTGTTAGATGTTAGAATATCTGCACTAGTTTGCTTCTTAGGTCTGTTTGATTGGAAAATCGTTTTCCAACCCTTTATTCTGAGATAATGTCTGTGTTTGATGTTGAGGTATATTTCTTGCATACAGTAGAGGGATGAATCCTGTTTTCATATACATTCTCTTAGTCTGTATCTTTTTATTAGCAAATTGAGTCCATTGATATTGAGAGATATTAATGACTGTGATTGTTGATTCTTGTTATTTTTGTTGTTGTTGTTGTATGTGTTTTTCTCCTGAGTGGGATTATCTATTGTATTTTGTGGGTGCAGCTAACTTCCTTGGGTTGGAGTTTTTCATTTTAGTACTTCTGTAGAGCTGGGTTTGTGGATAGATATTAATTAAATTTGACTTGGTCATTTGTGATTGAAAATTTTGCTGGGTATAGTAGTCTGGGCTGACATTCAGGGTCTCTTAGAGTCTGCAAGACATCTGTCCAGGCTCTTTTAGCTTTTAGAGTCTCCATTGGGAAGTCAGGTGTAATTCTAATAGGTCTGTCTTTATATGTTAGTTGACCCTTTTTCTTTGCAGCTTTTAATATTCTTTCTTTGTTCTGTATGTTTTTATTCTTATGTGGTGAGGGGACTTTATTTTTTTCTGGTCCAATCTATTTGGTGGTCTGTATGTTTCTTGTACCTTTATAGGTATGCCCTTCTGTAGGTTGGAAACATTTTCTTTTATGATTTTGTTGAATATATTTTCTGACCTTTGAGCTGGAATTCTTCTATTTATATTATTCTTAGTTTTGGTCTTTTCATGGTGTCCCAAATTTCCTGGATGTTTTGGGATATTTTTTTTTTAGCTATAACATTTTTTTTGACCAATGAATCTATTTCCTCTATTGTTTCTTCAGTGCCTGAGATTCTCTCTTCCATCTCTTGTATTCTGTTGGTAGTGTCTATATCTGTAGCTTCCTGTTTGCTCACTCAGGTTTTCCATTTGCAGAATTCTCTCATTTATGTGTGTGTTTGCGTGTGTGTATGTTTGCATGTGTGTTTTAATTGCTTCTATTTCTGCCATTTTCAGCTCTTAAACAATTTTGTTTCTGTCAACCGTTTGTTTCTTCTTGGTTTTCTTTAACAGATTTATTGATTTCCTCCAAATTTTTTTTTTTTTTGGTTGTCTTTTCCTCCATTTCTTTAAGGGATTTTTCTTTTCATTTCCTCTTTAAGGACCTCGATCATTTTCATAAAGTTATTTTTAAGATTTTTAAGGTAATTTTCTTGTGCTTCAGGTGTTTTTGGAATGTTCAGGTCTTCCTGTTGTAGGATACCTGGGTTCTTGTGGTGATATATTGCCCTTTCTGTTATTCATTGTGTTCTTACTCTAGCATTTAGGTATCTAGATTTTGGGTGATTATCAATCTAGGTGTTGATCCAGGTGCGTGTAGTCACTCTTTCTGACTGGTGTATTCTGTGCCTCAGTGTAGAAGTTCAGCGGGATTGGGGGTGGGGGTCCAGCAGTAGCAGGGCCAGGGACAAGCTGTGATGGTGTTGGCCTGAGGAAGGGTGGGGTAGGCAGACTGGGGAAAAGCTGCAGTTCCACTGCTAGGTGGCCCCTCTGAGTCTGTGCTCTTCAGCATTTACAATTGGCTTCTTATAGGAAACGTGTTCTTAGATTTCAAAGTCAAAGTGGAACATATAAAAAATGGCATAGTATTCATAGTTTGTATATTTTTAAGCATAATGTCTCAGAAAGATTAGAACTAGGCCACCAATATTTTTGAATTGTTGAATTTGAATCAAAACACTTGTTGCCTTTCCTTATGTTCTGATTAACCAGTCAATGACACGTTGTTCCTTTTGATTTGAACACAGGTGATTGTGATACAGACTTGCTACAGGCAGTGGCATGCTAAACGCTATGTGGACAGCTTAAGACAACAGAAGAAAAGGAGGCTGGAGTGGGAGGAAGAGCAAGAGCTCAAGAAGATCAGAGAAAAAGAGGAATGGGTGCAGATGGACTACTATCGGAGGCACAACCCGAAGACGAGGGAAGACTTTGAGCTCCTTTACAACGCTATGGAGCGTAAGTGCCAAGCGGCTTTGCAGGACACATAGGCTTGATGAGGATAAAAGAAAGACACCCTCGTTGTAGGGGCTTGTCTTAGGAGTCTAGGTTATATTCCCCCCCCCTCTCTCTCTTCCTCTCTCTCTCTCTCTCTCTCTGTGTGTGTGTGTGTGTGTGTGTGCACATCCCTGGTTGCCTTGGAACTCACTATGTAGACTATATTGAAGTCTGGCTGTCTCTCTGCTGGGATTAAATACATGCTCTTCTCTACTACACCCAGCAAATATGTTAAGAATGATATAAGATTACAAGTGTTTTAAATAACAACATATGTGAGGAGTATGTTTTTCTGCCCGCCGCTGGTCCCGCCGCCATGCCAGCCCCAATTAATACACCGAGACTCTGTATTTGATATAATTCTGTTGGCCAGTTACTTGTTTCTTATCGGCTAGCTCTGTCTTAAGTATTAGCCCATTTCTGTTAATCTATGTATTTTACATGGTCTCATCTTACCAGAGAGCCGGCTGGCGTCCTGCTCTCTCCAGACTCTCCATCTTGACTCCTCCCTACCACTTCCTCTTTCCTCCTTGTCTCCTAGTTCTGCCTATCTTGCTTTCCTATTGGCCTACAGTGCTTTATTCATTAACCAGTATGAGAAACATATTTACAGAATGACATCTCCCATCATCTCTTCTTTTCTGTCTAAATAAAAAGAAGGGTTTTAACCTTAACATAGCAAAATATATCACACAACCGTTATCAAATAAGAATCACAGTTAACAATATTTAGTCCATTAACATTTAGTAAGATTTAAGAAAATATTCTATCAACTGTCCTATCTTTGTGAGTCTAAAGTCTTATATGTAACTTATCTTTAATCCTAAGGAAAACTATAACCTTAATTATCTATCTTCAAAGGCCACAGAAGGATAGTATATAAACTCTAGCCACCAAATACCTGAAAGATGTCACTTTGAAAAAAAAAAGAAAGATGTCACTTTGAAGAAGCAATGTGTGCCATTCCGGCGGTACAATGGTGGAGTAGGCAGGTGTGCCCGGGCCAAACAAACAGTGGGGCTGGACACAGGGTCGGTGGCCAAAAGAGTGCTGAATTTTTGCTGCACATGCTTAAAAATGCAGAGAGTAACGCTGAGCTTAAGGGTCTAGACGTCGATTCTCTGGTCATTGAACACATCCAGGTGAACAAAGCACCTAAGATGCGCCGACGAACCTACAGAGCCCACGGCCGGATTAACCTGTACATGAGCTCCCCCTGCCACATCAAGATGATCCTCATGGAAAAGGAGCAGATTGTTCCAAAGCCAGAAGAGGAGGTTGCACAAAAGAAGACATCCCAGAAGGAACTGAAGAAACAAAAGCTATGGCATGGGAATAAACTCAGTGTAAAATAAATGCAGGTGAAAGTAAAAACAAAATAAAACAAAACAAAAACAAAACAAAACAACAACAACAACAAAAGGCAGGACCAGACCAGCGGTGGGTAGGAAAACATATTCCTTACAAACATATGTGTACATGGCTGTGAGAACTATGGAGTTTTAGAATATCTTTGCACTGATGCTTCAGCCACGTAATTTCAAATGATCGCTCACCTGATTGTGTGACGCTTTGAATGGCTTGTGAATTCAGCATTGAACCGTGATGTTCCCACATACCACATTCCATCTGATTACACTCTAGCAATTCCCCTTTAGCCCCCAACACAATAACAATTTTACCTTGTGTCCTCTATAGGATGTGTATTCCTTAGAGATAAAGGCAAGGGGTCTCTGTCACCTACTCAAAAGCTTTTGTGACAGACAACATGATGGATGACAGGGAAGAAAGGAAGGGCTCCAAGGAGGGAAATGTTGTATCTATTGTCCCAAATAAAGAGTTCATGGCCTTTTAAAGTAATGAAATACATAAAAATTGAGAAGAAGGAAGACAAAGCCAATAGACAAGTCCAATTACTCCAGGCCCTTCTTAGAAAGTGGGCAATCAAACCCGGTTCTTCAGCTATTGGCATTCACGGAAACCCAGGTTAATGAAAATCAGCTGTGCCACACTGCTGTTGGTATCTGATGATCCTCACTGCCCTGCCAAGTTTTCGATGTCATCGGCACCTCGTGTTTAGTATTTTTAGTATTTGTTTTTACCAGTGGAGTACAAACTCCATGCGTGAATGATTTATTTATATTTGGGCAATGTTTATTTTTCTGTGTTTAGCTCATATGCTTAACAATATCCACTAAAATGAATTAATGAAGGAGGTAAGGAAGAAACCCAGAAACAGATAAATATAACGGTCTGAGAATGGAGAGATTGGGTTCTTGTAAGGATACAGATTTTTTAACAACTAAAAATAGCCCCAATTTAATTGTAGTGGAACAGTGTCCTTTAGGCTAAGAGAATAGGTCATTGTATTCTCTGAGTATTTATAAGCATTGTTATCTGTTTTTGTGATTAGCCCATGTGGTATAAGGATCAATTCTTAGAGACCATTGTTAGCCATGTTTCCTGGAAAAATCCTATAATCATAAAATTAACATTCTATATAGCAGGGATCTATGAGAATGATATTTTAAATCATATATGAATCAGCCAAGGATGTCACTGTTATTTTGTCATGATGATGGGAAACTGTGAAAAACATCAGAAAAGATCAAATTCTGCCTTCTCTGTTTGACAGTGTTGGGTAGTACAAATTGTCCTTTTCTTGTAAACCTCAGTTTCCCCAACTCTGAAAAGGATTCAGCAGTTTCAGTTGCATCTTATTCAGAAGGCTCAATAGAGTGAATTGCATGTGTGAGTGCCTGCCCTGTGGTGACTAATCTTAACAGGATTTCTGTGTTAAAGTAGAACATGCATTTTATACATGACCATACAGGAACTGTATGGTGAAAATGAAAACAAATAGAAATTTCTTACATACGAAATTTATTTCAGTTTTTCATCTTAAAATTAGAAATTAAAAGATTTAGAATAATTTCAAAACTATTATTGGAGGGGGTACTCAATATCTGTTTACAAGATTTGTTTTTTATGCCACGCCTCTATTTAATTCAAGTTTTTTCAGCCCATCTTCCCAACTGTGCCTTGTAATTGCTGCCCTCTTGTGGCTCAGAGGGACAATTGTATGGCTTGAGCTACAATTCATAATCCAGTTTTTTTTTTTTTTTTTTTTTTTTTTTTTTAAATTCTGTCCTTAGTAATAACAACAGAATGATACTTATTTAAGATGATAAACACTACCATCTAAGGTACATCAGTCAAGATCATCTCAAGCTGATACTTGATGCCGTATTGTTCTTTTTTATAGCAGTATGATAGGGCAGATTTCCATTAAGCAGAATTTCCATGAATGCCAATAGCCGAAGACTGTTGGTTTGAGTACCCATATTCTAAGGAGCAATTGGGCTTGTCTTCCTTGTTTTCAGTTTTATATAAGTAGAATTATTCAGAATGATTTGTTTTATGCCTGTCTTTTAAACTTCAATATTATATTGTGAGTTCTGTTTATGTTATCACAGGTAATTCAGCTTGCTCAATCTCATTTCTATAGATTATTCATTATAGAAAGGATCACAATTATTTTATCCACCTTACTGTGGATTTGTGCCCAGGCTCTGTCTTTTTCAAAATATAAGTAGTGCTCTTTGTTGAAGCACGGAAATGTGCATCTCTCTAGGGTGTAAGACTTAGGAGTGCAGATTCTGGTTCATAGCATGTGCACTTTTCAGCTTTAGTGCGCCAATAGACAGCCTTGCAGAGATAAAAGCAGTTTGTACCTTTTGAGGAAAGCATAAACTTTAATTAGTCTGTCATCCTATCTAACCTCAGGCGTGTCTGTCTTTATTTTGCTCTTTCAGGAGGATGTACAGCACTATCACCTCAATTCATTTTTGACTGAGAGCCAAAGAGATTAGATATCGGGATATCAGAGTCAGTGTAAGACATTCTGTCCCCCTAGTAAAGCCTTTATAGAAGAAATAAATTGAGAACTCGCCTAGGCCCATGGACTACTCAGTAAGATCAAAGGAATAAAAAAGGAAAGTTACAAAACAGCTAGTAGAAGTAGTTTTCTCTTGGTTTGTTTTTTAAGTGAGCCGTTACTTTGGAGTTGTTTCCAAGAGGACTGTGAGAGGTATTTCAAGGGAACCCTCTTGGTGGTCTTTGAAATAAGCTCCTTTGGTTTTAGGGACACAGAGGAGTGGCAGTAACCCTTGTCCTGGTAGGTCAGTGTCAGACTGCAGGGTGCTGGAGATACAGAAGACAACATTGAGATGGTTACCACTCTCAGGGTATTTTGAGCAGAAACACAGGAGCCTATGCAGGAGAGAGTGAACAAACAAGGCTAAGGTCTTGTTCAGTGGGGCACCTGGAGAAATGATGGAATTTTGTCAGTAAGAGGCTCAAAGTGAACAGCTGGCACCCTTAAATGGGAGGTTCATCTCAAGTACCCCAGGATAGTAAGTATGAGTCACCTATCAGGCTGGGAGAAGAAGGGCTCTGCTCAGCTAAGTAAGGTTACACCTTCTCACCCTTGGTGTCTTTGCTAGAGTGACTGTCTTTACTGTTGATAAAGTTCAATGTGTTTTTAATAAGGATCATATACTTAGTGTTATATATCTAAATGTTCAGCCATTTTAGAGTCCTCTATTGAGAATTCTCTATTTAGTTCTGTACCCCAATTTTTAATTGGATTATTTGGTGTTTTGGTGACTAGCTTCTTGAATTCTTTGCATATTTTGGAAATTAGCCCTCTGTCAGATGTGGGGTTGGTGAAGATCTTTTCCCATTCTGCGGGCTGCCATTTTGTCTTGTTGACTGTGTCCTTTGCCTTACAGAAACTTATCAGTTTCAGGAGGTCCCATTTATTGATAGTTGCTCTCAGTGTCTGTGCTATCGTTGTTCTATTTAGGAAGCAGTCTCCTGTGCCAGGGCATTCAAGGCCACTTCCCACTTTCTTTTCTATCAGGTTCATTGCGGCTGAATTTATGTTGAGTTCCTTGAT